TATTTTCATATATATATTTATATATATGATAAGACGAGGCGTAAAGGTCCAATTTGACTTTGAGCATTTATATTGTGAAAACCAAACCAATTATATTACAACAAATAGCACATAACAAACAATCAACTATCTGACTATGTTCAGTCACATTCCCAGCTATTTCATCATTGTAGAAAAGTGTTTATTTGCTGTTTTTTTTTTTTTAATTTGTCACTTGCTCCTTATTTCCCATTGGCGGGGTAAAATGAGACGGCGTATAGAATCAATGCCTTATTTTGACTTTGGAAGAGATTTTACTTAATAATATATAAATAACTACATTGTACAACCAATGGAAAATATAGATTACATTGGTACAGAACTAACACTGTATATAATCTTGATAACTCTTAGTAAATTTTTTTTAATTAATTTACTTGTTTAATTACAATTTTTTTTCTTTACACCTTTGCCAGGGTTAAAGTTTAGTTGGTCCTTTTTACCCCACCCAGGTGTAAGCTTTTATAAAGGTTAAATGAAAAAAACTGCTGAATCTAACTTAAAATACGCATTTTATAAAGCAATTAAATAAAGTATACGCAAAAATTATATTAAGGTCTCGTAAACTAAACCACAGTACTCACAACTAAAAAAACTAACAACGAAATAAAATAATTTTGTTATGGATTTTCAGACATTGACGGTTTTCTTTCGATAGCAACATTGTGTGAATTAATGTATTGTAATATTATGACTAATTATAAATCTTTTTTCCTCTACTATCAAATTATTGTTGAGATATCGATGGTGGACCTTTTTACCCGCGAACGTTTTAGCCTTGCTCTACCCTAAATATAATTTGTATCTAAAGTGATAACCTCTTAAGGTGCAAAATATACGCATGTACGTATATAAATATGCATTGAGATATATAAATAGTATTTTAGCATTATGAGTGAATTAACATTAATTATGTGAATATGTATAAACACAACTTTTTCACTAACTTCAATAAACAGTAATACAAGTTACAAACGACTGTGTTTTACCTCATAATCAGTGTGAATATGTAATTAATAGTATTAAAACATTTTATAAATGTAGTACATAGTACTGTTTAACATTTTTTATTAAAGTGTGTGCAAAAATGTTCGTTTTGATATTCATATTTACATAATTAATACATTTAAACAGAATGTATATTAATTTAAACCTGACAAATTCAAATGCACATCCTTTAGTGATATATGATGGTCAATTAAATTAATAGGGTCTACTGAATGATAGAATGCATCCATTCTATATAATTGCCAGGCGATAAAATTATTTGTACTAGTTGTATATGTTTTGAGCGATGGTTTTTAGTATCAATATGTATCTTTATAATAATATTTTACATAACTGAATTAAATAAAAATTATCAAAACAACTATGTGATTGATAATTGAATTAAATAAGTTAATTACATACCAAATTTAAATATAATATTTTTTATGTCATCGCATAAAAGATTCAATGTAGTTAAAAGGATGGATTTTAAAGCGTTATTAGAAACAAACTAAATAAAACAAAATTAAAATTTGATTATACAATTTCAAAAGACGTGGACATTTGGATTTTTTTAATTGATCTCTGAAAAATTGCTACTGGCACTTTCACTACTTTTCATGTTGGATATAAGGTTTCAAGTTAAAGAAAACATTTATGTTGCAAAAAAATAAACATGTCACAAGATAATTAAATAAATTTCACAAGTTTGAAACTTATATACTTATTAATGGTTTTACCAAAAATAGGTTAAAAAGTTGTTTCTAATCAATTTCCAAAATTGATTCTCTCAATGGCAACTCAAAAACTATACATTCCGAATACATTTTGAAAGATTTTGTTCTCTACAAATTAATAAATTATTTATTAATTAAGTACAGATAAATAGTTTTCCTAAATATGTAAAACCTATTCCAAAAAAAATATTTTTAAATACTGAAAAAATAATCTATATTTTATTTAGTCACAAAGTATGAATCTGACATATTACCTATCCTGCTAATACAAAACAGAATGTAAGCATTTATGAAAAAAACTGCATATGACAGGAGTTTTTTCCAAAACCCAATACAAAGCATCAATTTTTCAAAACAAAATGTATGGTTTCATAAAAAGTTAAATTTATTTAATTTTTATGAATTGCTTTTACGCTTGCAGCTAGAAACAATACTGCAAAATATTTATAGACTAGTTTTTAAAACTATTTTGTGAATTCATATCTCATTTATGTATTGATTCTCTGAATATATGAAATTGTTTTAACATTCGAATTTGAGAGATACATTTAAATATGCAAAAGGGACAAATAATTGAAACCGTGAAATACATGGTTTCAATATATTAATTATACATACAAATTAATAGTCAAGTCTGAACTATAGTTCTAACGGTGCTTCATTTATTTTATTTGCTTACTTATTTATTTAGATTTTTAGCAACTTTTATATGTCGTACGTATTAACACCTAATTGTTTTTATATGATTATATATATATGTAAATTGTCATTATACAAGAAGAATTAAGTGAAATTATGGATTTTTGTACTTAAAATGTTAAAATTAATAATAATCTTCTTAAATAATTTTAGAGGGTACTTTTCAATTAATATTGATACATAATCTAGATATAGACAAATTATTAATAAAATTCTTTACACCTTCAGATTGCCATCTCCTAATAATTGAAAGACGCAGACACAAATCTAACTTGTACATCCCATGTGACTGAATCTGCACATACAACAGATAAGAAGATTTGCCATCATTTTTATCAAAAGGTTATCTAAAAAAGTGAAACTCTTCGCTATAATTCAATTCCCAAAAATACTATCTCGGTCGAAAATTATACATATACCTACACAACTTAGATTTGTTCGTAAAGTGGAACATGAATGAGACCGGAGGCAATCTAGAATCTCTAGAGCGAACAATATAGTGTTGTTATCAAGTTTGTGACGGTACCTGGTGCTGTTATTGCGCTTAGATAATCTACTCTAAGACTTTACTAGGAACGATATGACATATTTATAGTCCATAAGAGGTAAACAACTATTGAATTAATTTTGCCATGGCGGTTCGAAGTCAAGGTAATATGAATTTAATAGGGTTTATCAAAATTTGTATAGTAAACATATGACATAAAATTACAAGGCTTTTTTGTAGCCCCGAGTCAAGACCCGAGCTTCAGACAATCTGATTCCAAAAAAATTAAAATATTTTTTCAAAGCATGATTGCAAACGCCTTTTCCAGGTATTACTGCATGAAGTTTTTACAAAATTGTACAAAAATATATATATTAAAAGATAGGACAACTATACGATTGCTTTCGACTACAGCTAAGGCGTTAGGGAGTAACATCACAGCAGTTAAAGCTCTACTAAAGGGTTAAGTTCCAATTGCTGTTAAAAATCAAATAAAAGTTCTTTATCAAATATTTATAGTTTCTCAAACTATATTAAGTAACGAATTCTTTGATAGTTTATCATTTACTCAACCAGTTATGCATTTTAAAAATTTAAAACAAATATTTGACTACTCTCAACTATTCTTTTTAATGCAAAAGTGACAAAAAACCGCATGATGACAAATATTTTCAAATGATATACTCAACATCAATGTGAAAAAGTTGATTAATATTACCATTAATAGTTGATATTAATGGTTGAATATTACCAATAAAATTACTACCTTTAAAACATTTCTATTGGATACAATGTGATGTAAGCAATGTAGATTAAATTCTACTCATAGTATAAGTAACATTAACTATAATTTTAGTAAATATATAGTTGCTTAAATAAATAATGCTCCTAAGAATAAATGTCGATCTCAAACGTAGTGGGTTGCAATATTTTTGTTTGAAACTAAGTAATATACCTTCTTTCAATAAATGAAATCTATATTTAATAGTTATTATTTTCTGTTATTGATCTAATTATTGATTCATTTATTTATATCACAAAAATGTGTAAATAAACAACATAAACATCACGATTTGAGATTTAGAAAATTTTTAAAATTGTAACGATAAAAATCGAAATTATGTCACGGCCTATTATTGCAAATTTACTGAATTTTTATAACTAAACACTTGTCGTAGACCCATAATATTTTACTATGTTTTCTAACACTATGGACCATCCTATTCTAATATTGTCTAGTTTCTAATTCTAAGTCGTAGTCTAATATTGTTTAATAAACATATGAACACATCGTATTCTAATATTGTCTAGGCCATGAATTCTACTAACCTCAACAAGTTTAACTAAAATCGTTAAAAAAATCAGCAATTAATTACGAAATAATGGACTGGCCGATCTATGCCAGAAATCGGTCCAGCATTTTTTTGCTAAATCATGTAGTGAAAAAATTGCGCTTATCTTTATCGGAAAAAGTAGCTCTGCCAATTGCTGTTAACGAGTTTTGAATAGCTTTCAAATTTTACAACTGTTTTTGAAAAAACGTAGACAAAAGGCACGTTATATTTTTAACTGTACAGGAGATTATCGAAGAGTGAAGCATGAAATATCATCAAAAAAGCGCATACCATCCAAACACACTAATAAAAGTTCTTTGTTGTTTTTGCAAAAACAAGTTCCCATCAGAAGACTGAAAGCAAAGTGACCGCAAGATTTAATAAATTGACAAGCAAGGTAAGGAAATTCCTCACAGGGAGCATTTCTAAATGCCATGTACCCAACAGCAAAGAACCTCATTGAACCAAAGGTTCAGATTAGTTATGAGAAATAAAAAAAAATTAACTTTGATGGTAAATATTAAAGTAACACGTCGATTCTTTCCGACATAAATTTTTCCTTCGGAAAGTTTATAAATTCTTGATATAATAATTCAAATTGGTCCTTCGTTAAATTCTGAATGAATAACTAAATTTAATCATTTACTTAGTATAATATGGGATTATTATTTTCTTTATAATCTGTATTGTTTTGTACATATAATAATTATCTCTTACCTCCTCGTGCTGGCCACATCTCCTCGTTCCACCGCCAACAAAAACTTCTTCTCGTCCAACGACAACTGTGCCATTTCCTGATGTGGCCGAACAACATTCTCCTCCTCCATCATTCCGTGAATGCTGTGACGCTGAGGAAAACAAACAACTCACATTTATTTTCATACTTCTTAAAGATCTGGTAAGTTATTATTGATTTATATTAATAATGAAAAATATTTGTCACTTTAGTAGGAATTTATTTTATTAACTTCCCGTAGGGTAAGTTATAGTAATCGCAAAAAAATCGAAAATGAAAATTTTTATATATCTTTACGTTTCAGAGGTTTCTGAACATTTTGGGATACCTTAGAAAAAATGGATGTATGTGTGTGTGTGTGTGTGTGTATGTATGTATGTGTGTGTATGTATGTGCGGATACAAATTTTCGTCGACGATTTCGGGAACACGGATGAACCGATTTGAATAATTCAAAAAACATTCGATTCGTATTGATAAGAAGACGTGCTGATTAGTTTTTGGCGAAGGCAGGTCTAGCCGTTCCAAAGATACGGGGCAAAAAGTGCCAGAAACGGTACATCCGTTTTTAAGAGAACGGAGCGTCCGATTTGAATAATTCAAAAAACATTTTACTTGTATTGACAAGATGAAGAATTGTTCCAATTTTCATGAAGGCAGGTCTAGCGGTTTCGGAGATCTAACGAAAAAAGTAAAAAAATGAGCCATTTGGCGGTCAAAAATGATCATTAGACATATGCACATCAAATTATCAGATATTTTATAGAAATTTTAACAATAAGTATACATTTTGTTAACATTCCTATGGGTTCCGTACCAATGCTTATGCGTTAGGCGGCGGCGCGCCACTTGCGCTGTGACAATTCGTCTCTATGCAGTTCAAGCAGTACGATTGCATTGAAAAAAAGTTCAGAATTTCCAAAATATGTCAAAATGAAGAAAACATTCATTTTTTTTTCAAATAAATTTTTTTTTTTCAAAATATGGTAATTTTTTATCAAATTTATAGTTTTTCAAAAATCTAATTTTTTCGAAGTAATTTTTTTTTTCAAAAATGTTAATCGTTTTTAAAAAAAATAATAATTTTGGGTACGGGAAGTTCCAGCAATTTGCCTTAAGGCACGATGCCCTAATTGCCTTAAGACAGAATTCCACTTACAGCTAGTTTTAGTTGTATTTCGTATCTTAGAAATTATTTGGAAAACACATACTTTAAGGAAATGTCATTTTAGTGGTAGATATTTTGTACCTTAGAAATTATTTGGAAAATACATAACTCAGGGAAATTGCATAGTTAATCATTAAATTATATCAATGACATATAGACCAATGATATAAAAAGTAAAAAGAATGAATAATCATTGCATATATGATTACTTGAATCAGCAATAAAATGGAAAAGGCATGACGAAGTAGTGTATTATATTCTTTGATTTTGAGTGAACGTTGAATTTATTATGAAAAAAATCTCAATTATTTGAATTTGCTTCATGTTACTTTATATTTGTTTCATTTAAACCTTTCTTGCACTGCGCCCTAAACACCGCTCTATTAAAAAAAATTGTTGCGTCTCCTTAATTTTTTGAACAATTTTATTTCATAAATATACTCAACTGATATTATCAGACTACAAATTAATATGCAATATTATGTAAAAATATGCATAAAATATAATTATTTAATTTTTATTTATTTTTTAATTGTTGCGCCGCATTTAATTTTTTCAATAATTTCATTTAATGAATTCTTAACTGATATTATCAGACTACAAATTAATATGTAATATTATGTAAAAATATGCATAAAATATAATTATTTATTGAACTAAAACTACTTTAGGCGCGACAAAGGCGCGTTTAGGCAAAGCAGATATTACAGCTGTTCAAAGAGTGCGATTATAACGCCAGCGAAAAAGTAAAAAAATACAAGCAGTCAATGAATGTATGTTAATTTTAATTACATGAAGTTCTTCAAACACGATTATTACATGATGAGTGAAGTTGCAAAAAAATATTTGTTTAGGTGTTGTTTAACATAATCCACTGTGTAAACAAAAATTATAGAATTTATTAATCAGCAATTACTTCATTTCTCTAATGAAGGTTTATTTCTAAATACTAATTACAATGACAAACCGATCATGTCATATTTGAAATGTGACTTTAATTACATTATTGTTATTAAATATTTAGATATTTTTAATGCTATTATAAATATATAATTTACAATTTATCATTATATTAATGTGTGTAATGGTTGGCACTAATAAATTCGTTCATAATGAGTGTTACCTTATTACTAATATACATTATTCAAAATTGTTATGTGATGTATTTGTTTTTACTTAACTTAAATTTGCTACTTTGTACAGTAGCAAATAAGTTTTACTTCAATCGCGTGTGATCCTCACTCTTTTTTGTTTATTTTTTATGTTAAGTCAAAACTTTTGGTTTATTTTCGAAAATAGTATTTTGAAAAGTGCTGTACGCGCCCTCCCCTGTAACAGCCAGGCGCCCCACAGGTTGAAAACTGCTGATATAATCGTTTTGTCAAACAAGTAAAAGAGCGACAGAAAATTTAACGCAAAAACCATAAACAAGAATAGGAAAAGATATTTCACTATTTATTTGTATGTATAATAAGTTGTCAAACCATGCTTAAAATGTTTAATGTAATAATGAAAGATATTTTTTATCCAAAAAGCTATGGAAAAGAGTTGATTAAAATAAAGATTATGTGTACTTTTTGACCAGCAATCACAACTATGTGTTCATAAGCTTTGGTGATGTCTTTAAACTAGTGTTAATCGAAGGTAAATAGGCAATAACCCAGTGGCTGTGCATTCAATTTGTTATGGGATTATTATTAGATTTTTTAATAATGTCTTGAGAAACTATATTTTCAAGTGAAATTCATATTAACACTGCTTGATACCAAGATGTCCAAAACGGCAATAGCGTATAGAGTCTTCAGTTGCAATACTAAAGTTTTGATTACTTCTCTAACTCCTTTCAATTACAAATAGTGGCAAAAATTATTGTATCTGAAAACAGCTGTAAAATGATTGATATTGCATATATTGATAAATGTAAAATTGAATCTTCTATTATTATGCAAGATATCCGATTCGCACATCATTTATTCTCTTTCAAACAAACATTTTCCATGATATATGGGAAAACATATTCTGCATTACCCGAACATAACAAATGGTAAACGCAATTGACCCGTGAAAGGCTTTGAACTTCTTGTATTTTTTCAACAATGGTGCATGAACAATGTATCCTGTCTCAGTAAAAATATAGTGGTCGCTATATAATCGATGGACGGATAGAATTTTCTCAATAGAATTCTATCCAGAAGGGTAGATCGAAAAGATCTGAGTTATACGTAAAAGCACAAGCACTTTATGAAAATCCGATATAAGGAACAGTGTGTTGCTTTTATCTAACATGGAAGTTATGCGATAGAAGATTTATCGTAAAAATATGTTTTCAATTTTTAAATGTCCAATACACTCGTAGTAACAGTATTAAACTGTCATGTTCAATCTGACTATAATAAGTTAAGGCAGAGCAATATTTATCGACACATTTTTATTGCTGTGAAGGAATTTATTTAGTCTAAATAAGCAACTGCAAAAGAAAAGGACTTATTTTAGAGCGAGTATTTCATTCTGAATAAATTTAATATTATTTCTTAAGTAATTGACATTCGGAATCTCTTTTATGCGGAAACAGTATGAGAAGCTATGTAGTATTTCGTAAAATTATACCAATAAATTTGAAAAAAAAACAAACATTTAAAAATTTGATAAAGTAAAATGTTTTACGTTAATATATGATAATAATATAATTAAATAATCGTGAGCTAGCTGGCTATCTAAGACTATTGCATGCAAACAAAAGTTGATAACTTTCATTTATAGATCATACAAAAAAGCACAGGGCAAAAGCTCAAAAATAATGTTTCTGAATAATAAATTGTTTCAAATAAAAAGTATATTTTTGTATTATATTTTTTGTATTATTTTTGTAAAATGATGAATTTCATTATAAAACAAATTAATTATGTATAAGCTGATTATAGAATATTTTAAATCTAGAAGATTAGAACAAATGTCTATGCGGTGAATAAGACGATTAGATAAAGGCAGTATCTTTTCTCTGATAGTTTCATAGATATCAATAATAATTTAATATAAATAAACCGTTGAAATTCATGGACGATAAAATTCAATTGGATTATACTCGAAGCTATAAAATGAATCGGTTTGATTTTTAATAAACTATACAACAATTCGATGAAATGGCGCATCATAATATAGAACTTTGCTTTGAAATACAACAAAACAAATCAAAGCAGACATCCAGTTGTTATTACACAACAAATTCTCTGATGCCGAAGTTGCAATGCACACAATTCGAATAGTAACTTTTTAATCAAGCCACACAGAACCGTGAAAATATTTTGCAACAAAACTTTTCAATGTTCAGAGAACATAACGTCAGGAGTTGTAGAACTAATACAACTCAATGGTTTTAACTTTAAACCAACTGACAAAAGTTTAATAAAGGGAATGCATGTTGTGTGTATAAGACATGTCAAACAAATTATGTTATTATAGTTTCCAACAATGCTCCGCACAAACTTTATAAAAAATGGAGTTTTTTAAGATTCACCAAAACATAACCGTTTTCTAAAGTATATCTAAAGAAATTAATGATGTTGTATCAGAGGTGCTCCCAGTGTTAATCTCACGTTATATGCAAAAAACTATCGTTTTTATTGTTATGGCAGACATAATATTTTTAAGTAACACCTTAAAAAATATGTTATTTATTTTGTCTTGAATATTTACTACTATTTTAAAGTTAAAATAAGTTGCAAACTAGTTTTTTCTGCAACTATGTTATTCATCGTAAATAAATATCTGCAAAAATCTACGAAAAAAAATTGGGTAAAATTAAAACTAAAGTAATGTTTTACATAGGATTTTATGTAATTTATATTTGCTGAGCTAAATTCATTTGTCGAAATCTGAGATAAAAAATAACCTTATGATAGATGAAGATACTATTATGAAACGGTTAAAATAAAACTTAGATTTTTTTCTACCATGACTTCTGTGACTAATTTTTATGAATGTAGAATTGTCAAATAATATGTTATTTTTTCATAAATAAATAACTTTATTTTTCGAATGTTTTCTATATTTTCGACTGTTTATGATGCATATATTCTCGTACATATAAAGTAGTATTATATGAATAAAATACATGCATATAGAAGTATGTGTATGTGGGTGGATATACAATAAAAATATGATTTTATCTGGAATTGACTGATAATTTTCCCGTTTTAGAATGCATATTCAATTTCATGTTATGAAGCTCGATGAATATGACTATGCATGCCAATTGAAATTGCTTTTCAGATGTCACGGATATTAAAAATAAAATTCTGACGAAGTACTTCAATTATAGTTTATCTAATGGATTTTGCTTGGCATTCTTATTTCCCGAAATTGCGTTTATTATTTTAAATGAAAAAAATAGTATTCAAATAAAATTCTACAAAAAATTTAAAAAGATATTATTAAATATTTTCTGAGAGTTTTAGAGATGTTAATCTTTATGTTATATTAAGTTTGCTATGATACAAATCTCAAAGTTATTCTCCAGATTAATTGTAGGCCTTTAAAACAGAATGCCACGTTGTACAAACCCAAATTTAATTAAGACAATAAAACATAAACGCAAAAGTAATGTGCTGGGTTTATTATTATTGTATGTATACTATCTAGCTAGAGATACACATAAAAGACACAACCGTATGCTATATCTAAACATGTATTCTTACCTTAACTTTTCTGTCCTCGTGCTTTTCCCCATAAACAGTGGGCGCCAATAGGCTTTGCGGGTACCCCGAATTACGGGGTGGCCCTGGAGGACCCATGTTGATTCGTAGTTCACCTGAAAAATATAATAATTATTAAAAAAAGGCTTGAAGTAGATTCACAGCGAAGTCACAATTCTTTAGTACATGAAATTAAAGAGAATTTTGTTACTACTTCGATGTTATATTTGCAAGTATGGTTTTTTTTATTGGTCAGTCAACTTTAATAAAGATTTGATCAAACATTATTATTATATTTCTGTATGTATTAAATCAAATAATTGTAATATGTTTATGCGTTTGGTAGCACAACTTTATCAAGAGCTCTTTATCTATGTATATTTAGCAGAAAAATATAATAATTCTAAATTTCAAAATAACATAAAAACCATAAAATTGTAATATTTCTTAAATAATACAATTTCATCAATTAGTTTTTCTCAATTTATTTGTTTTAAAATAGTGATAATCAAGCTTTTTGTTTAGGCATATTTAACAAAAAAAATATTTTTTAATAAAAAATAGAATAAAAACTCTTATAATATCTGGCGAATATTAAGAAACAAACGTTCGCAACTCATCGATTCGGCAAAAATATTTTCAATCGCACACAATGGTATTTTAAATATATGTATATTGATTAAATAACAATATATATATTAAATTTGACTATATCTTAGATCTTTTAATGCTGCCACGATACTGATTTAGTATTTTTCTCATGTAATGACTTGCCTGTGGACCTCATGGGCAAAGATGCCAAGCTATCGTTTTCGTCCTTGCTGGCATCCCATTGTTCGCCGTCCACAGTCTCACAGGATTCGCCTAAGTCGTCATCTTCGCAATCGTCAGCATCACAATCCTCGGCGGCTTCGTTTTCATCCTCCCCCGCGCTTTCTGAAAATAAAAAATACTGACATTAGCATATTGCAAACAACGTCAAAAATAAAATTAATAATAAATATTCTTCATATTTATAAGTAAATCAAAAGTATGTTTTCAAGATAAGCGAATTATATTCAATTTTATTGCTACATCTTTTTGGTAAGTACATATCCTATTTCGTCATGCAATGTAAGAATAATACGGTGGAGAGATCTTGTACTTTTAACCATCTTAATTGTGTGGGTAGTATGTCGTTTTGTATATAAATGCTTAATTTTCAAATTGAAGGAAAAAAGCAAAATAATAGCTTATCTTCCAAGAGATTAAATCTACTAATGTCACATCTGTATGATAAATCAATTGCAAACTTCGTTTTCATAAAAAAATCATTGTTAAAATTTGGGGTTTGGTAACCATCATTATATATAAACACACACAATATACATACATATATATATATATATATATATATATATACATATATATATATTTATATATATTAGATATAAGTGTGTGTGTATAAATCTATAAAGGTATAAAATCATACAAATTAACACAGAGTTCAAAAGTGTTATAGTAATTTATAAAATCAAAAGAATTTAATTATATCAATTAATCCATTCGACCATTCACAAAGGATCATATATCATAAAATTGCACATATGCACTCAAAAATTGTGGAATGAATCAATAGTTCAATCCGACTACTATTGATCTGCAGTGCCTTTTCAAATAAAAATCATTTAATCATTTAATATTTTTCATAACTATTATTTATATATTTTATACTCGTATGTCATTTTTACAAATATTATTTACAAATTGTCTAGATATAATATATAATTTACATGAGATTAAACCACATATTATGATTATTATCATTAGCATGATGTCTTTTTCAAAATTCCTTGTTGAATATGTAGATGCTTTTGCTATATTCTTAAGAGCTGACAATGTAATGTTATGTATTCAGTTATTCCTTATCACCATTAAATTTGTAAAACTTTATATACTAAACTTCAAAGTTATAATTGCATTTAAGTCCATATTCAAGAGTTGAATAAAATGGACATTGCAGCCTGCGAAACTAGGTTGAGACGATCTTTTCTGGCAATAAAGCATGAAAGAATATCAGAATAATATGAGAAAAGCTGAAGAAGCAAAACTTTCAACAATTTACTTCGTTTTGCGGACGACCTGTGAAAGGGTGTAGATATTGAATCACAAAGACCGCCGGACACTACGCGTGAAATAAGATTCTAGAAAGAACATTAGGTGAAAATCTATGGTCTATAAAAATATATAGAGCGCTGACGTAAATGAAAATGTTATAAAGCTATCCTTTGTTAACAGCATACATTGTGTCCGCGACGAGGTTATGGGAAGTCAATATAATAGAGATTTTAAAATGTGCCAATAAGATGATGGCAATAAAGATGAAAATTGTCAAGTGCGAATTTAATGTTTCCGCTGAACAATAATATCTTTTATTTTTCATAAAAAATCTGATCAATTAGGATACTGTTTAAATTTTATTACCGAGATTATTAAAACATAGCACCATTGTGTACAATGCACATCTTGACGATATTGAAAAATTAATATCAAATTCTTTATTATTACTAAAAATATACATGTTAGTCAATCAACCTGAAACAATATGTAATAATTAAAATAGATAAAACGAGAAAATTTTATACTGGATAGAAGTATGATTAAAAGTATACACTAATAATGTGCGTTTATTATTAAACCACTAACATTATCGCCCTTCCTTACAGATCAACTAAAATATTGTTCGTTATTTTTCTATTTGCAGAATATATTCGAAATAGAGATAAAACAGCTTCTCTCAATCGATAGACAAACTTCAAGATTATATAGTCTCTTAAAATAAACAACATCATTTTAAAGCATAGGTATTTTCAAGATTATGCCATGCACGTAAATATTTGAGAGAAACTCACTAATAAAGATTTTATCGTGTTTGGGTACGTATGCTCAAATGCGCTGTAAATCAGGCTATAAAATGAAATATTTTGCTAAAGTGACAATGAAACAACTTCCAGTCGAAATAATTGAATTTTTAAAATGAAATAAACTGAAATCTTGAAATTTTTGAAAACCGAAATGGATAATAACATCATAAAATGTAATAGAAATTAATAAATTTCTTTGTGCAAATCATTTGTGAAGTGTCAAAATCTTAGTATTTCATGTTATTTCTGTTATATACTCAAGCTAATTATTTAAACCTAAAATCTTAGTATCATGTTTTTCTCAATAACTTGTGATAAGACCCAAAAACCATTTATACGCGTCAACTATTGATAATATCAAACTTCCAAAGTGTTTTTTTGGTTGTGTTTTAGAGCTTTTTTCAAAGCTTTCAACCATTTTATAAGTTTTTTTGGTTGTGTTTTAGAGCATTTCTCAGAGCTTTCAACCATTTTATAAGTTTTTTTGTTGTGTTTTAGAGCTTTATTGCGAGCATTCAACCATTTTATAAGTTTTTTAGTTGTGTTTTAGAGCTTTTTCAGAGCTTTCAACCATTTTATAAGTTTTTTTGGTTGTGTTTTAGAAATTTTTTCAGAGCTTTCAACCATTTTATAAGTTTTTTTGGTTGTGTTTTAGAGTTTTTTTTCAGAGCTTTCAACCATCGCAAAGCTTTTAAATATCGCAAAGCCAGAAACTTTCTTCACAACCTACAAGTAAATTTTAAAAAAATCTATATACAAGTTTTTCTAAATATAATTAGTATTGGCTACTACCGCAAAACCTTTTTTATAACTTTTCCAATACAGCCACATATATTTTATGTTTTGATTCATAATACTTATGTGAAAATAACACGAAAATCATGACAATGCGAAAAAAGAAACTTTTATAAGAAAGAAACAGCACGTCGAGCAGTTTTTACAAACTTGAGCCAATAGGAAAGAAATCTTCGCACGACACAAGGACAATGGCAGCTTTTGTTTTCGAACAAATCTTTTAGCACTCCTTTGATTACATATATAAGTGGACAATATATAACCAAATATATTAGCATTGAAATAAGTGGTCACCTCATAGAGAACATATAGACACTACTATCTACAAATAATATTTTTATGCAATTTACATAAATTTTAACTTATATTGATTATTTATGAAAAAATAAAAACAATATTTACTCAAAGTTCACTTGCAATCACATTTGTACATGTGTGAATATATTGTACATGTGTCTTGTTATAAATTTCTATCAATTTTATGTTAGCATGCTGATCATCAGTCATTAGCATGCTTTTTGCATGATGTAAATTTCAGGCTTTGGCAGCGTTAAGTGATTAGTATTCAACGCCAAAGCTATTGCAAAATAAATTAATAACAACAGCTGTAACCAACATATATAAAATACATATGTCGATGAAATGAAAATTTAAATGAATACTAAAAATGAATGATAAATTATACTTTCCATACAATGAGTATATTTAGATTTATAAGGAAGCTGCACTGTGTATACAGGTACATAGAAAAGAAAATTTGCATTTTCAAAATTCAAGTAAAGAATAGTTTTAGAATAGAATTAGACATATTCGTACAACATCAAATAATTACGTCTAAAAATGAATACAGTTCAAAATTTATTTTTTAAACCTAAACTTCAGTAACTTATAAACCTAAATCTTATTAGTTGTTGTATATTATGAAACTAATTTGGATTCAACTTATAATATTCCTTAATACTTTACTTACCAACAAGCGTGCTGAAGAATGAATAATTTGATCTTCCATACATTGCACGTATTAAAACATTTTTGTAAAATAGTTCAATAATCACTTTATTAACTATATCAATTATTAGAAATAACTTCTATATCTGATAAAAGTATCAATTATTTTTGATGTAGTTTTTTTTTTTTTAATTGTCCGCACCTTCATAATAAATATACCACTATTATTTTGTATTTATTTTAAATCTTAAAACTGAACAAGATGTTAGCGATTTTTTATGAAATATGATAAACTGAAAGCTAACCCATTTTTATCGCATATATGAAAATGTCTTTTATCATTTGGCAATATTTAGATAGTAAATTGGATTGGTCCGAAATTGTGTTTGACAATATATTATGACGCAATTTGAACGATGATATAGACAGATGAGCTTTTATAACATTACTGAGATTATAAATATTGTGCTAAATTGAGGTAATCAATCAATAAAAATATAGATTGCATTATCGCCTCAAATTGAACTAAGAATAAAAAAAAGTGGTGCAAGTTAAACCACAACCAAATTTTTCTCAAATAATTCATGTTTTTAAAATTAAATATAATCAAATTTACAAAACTGAAAAAATAATTATAAATCTATATCGACTATTTGATTGTTAATATCCATTATAGGTCATATTACTAATATATGAATTAACATAAACATGAATTTTAAACGCTTCAATAATTACTGTAGAGTAAGATAAATATTCAAACTTATTTGTCAATTTTTTGCAGTCATTTTTCTCTTAATATATCAATTTAGTGTAAATAAATCTTATTCTCCCAATACTCTCATTTATAAAAAAAAACATTATTTTACTTGACTTCTTTACAGGACTAATCTAATCTGGCCTGTTTATCAAGAAAGAAATTATTATTTCCATTTCTGTTGAAGCAGATATTCTTCATATAATGACAAGAATGACAAATTTTTGAATCAATGCAGCTATTTTAAATAATCAATTTCTCCAAAAAAAAACATTCAAATGGTTGTCATATTCGTAACTAAAAGGTATGAGAAGAAAAATGTAAAGAGATTTATGGCATTTAATACTCGAGTTTATTTTCTATAGCAATAAATATATGTCATAAAAATAAGTACAAACACAGCAGCTTGCTAATTGCTTTTTCGTTCAAAGTAATACGAGAGAAAAGTTCTGTGCAATAATAAATAAAGTAAGCTGTATGATGCTTTTTAATCTGTACTATAGCATACAACAAATTACTTCCATGATAATTTTATT